AGGGAAGAAGTCCTTTTGGACCAGTGACTACAAAGTTCCTTTTGGACCAGTGACTACAAAGTTCCTTTTGGACCAGTGACTACAAAGTTCCTTTTGGACCAGTGACTACAAAGTTCCTTTTGGACCAGTGACTACAAAGTTCCTTTTGGACCAGTGACTACAAAGTTCCTTTTGGACCAGTGACTACAAAGTTCCTTTTGGACCAGTGACTACAAAGTTCCTTTTGGACCAGTGACTACAAAGTTCCTTTTGGACCAGTGACTACAAAGTTCCTTTTGGACCAGTGACTACAAAGTTCCTTTTGGACCAGTAAAAGAGAAGGTCCCTTTTGGACCAGTTATTTTGGAATCCATTTTTGGTGTTGCCTCTTTCGTTTGTCGAATGCACAGAAGTCTTTTGAAATAGATAAAATGTGTGATTCTAACGACTTTCTTTGCATTTGTTGCCCCCCTGCTCACCATGGGGAGCTGGAAGTAAGACTCGCAAACATTTACGACTACTCACTTGTATTAAGATTTTGTTGTTGTTTGTCTGTATTATAAACGCACCAATTTGAAACATCCCTGAAAGCATATATAAGTCCCCCCCTCCCCCCCCCCCCCCTCCTCTCATTAAAAAGCCACCCCTCTTAGAACAAGTTCAACAAGCACAACGGATCACTCTCAAAATGAGGAGTGTTCGGAAGAACTAAACTTTTCTCACTTTACGGCCCTCGCAACTGCACAAGGTCATATAGCGCCAGAAGACTAGAGGCGTTAAAAGAGAGTAACAAACATGAAAAAGAAGAAGAGGAGATAAGGACGATAGATGTTTGATAGGAAAGCACACCAGAGCACCCGCCAACCACCCCCCACGCACGGTAGCCCACCCTTCAACTATTCGAAATTATGCTAGTGGAGGATGTGTGTCAAAGACAATCACATAGTCCTGTCCTAGTTCTACAGCAGACCTGCCAACACCTATCCTCCCATGACCAAAAACAGGAGACTCTCTCAGGATCATCCTTAAAAATCCGAGTTAAGATTTTTAAAAACAGTCTCAAGCCCCAGTAGATCAGATTACTTTACAAACTGATTGTGGCAAATTACATATATATTTGCAAATACACATACATTAAGATATGTCTTTCCATGTCATTTATGATAAATCATGCAAATATTGCAAATACATCCAAATAAAGGTACAGAAAAATGTGTATTTTCACATAATTTACGATATGTTGCATAAGGCCGATGGAAACAGATCTCAAGGGGAAAAAATGGATTTTATGCAAATTTGATCAGGGTTTTTCTAAAGGCAAAAAAAAATAAATGGAAGGGCTCTGATTTTATCGGAGTACTTGGTAAGTCTACCACAGTAGCGTGGATGATAACTGGAATAGAACTCACCCACAGCCAAAGGAGGCATGTCCTGTGGTGTCCACAAAAACCTTCAGGTCTTTCGACTGCTGCTCCAGCATGTCCTGAAACAACACAGATGAGTCGATCATCAAGCGTCCCCATCTGACAGTGACGGAAACATCATCACTCCCACTGAACAAATAACAAGAGTACACATATCCTCAACAGAATACTGGGAATACAAATATTATTCCCAGCAAACCAGTTCCATGAACATAATCCTTAGCAAATCAGTTCCTTCCACCTCTCCAGTCCCGCCCCCAAGAAAAATCAACATGACACTAGTCTCCCCACTACTGTATTCCGTAAGGAACCCTCCCACCCCACCCCACCCCACCCCCTACAGGCCAGCTAACTCTTTCTGAGGGAAACCCACTACACCGAGGCCCTTTTTTGGTGCAAAACCTAAAAATGACAACGGGTCATTAAATCGAAACTGCAAACCTACTTTAATAGTTCTTTATCTAGTGAATGAACTTCTGGTATAAGAGACCTGTTGATTCGATGTCGAAGTTGGCGTAAAGAAATGTGCCCGAGCCGCTGTCCACCGGCACAGTGGTTCCGACCACGAGGCGCTGGGAACGGCTTGCCGGAGACAAAGAGTTAATGGTGGTTTGCCGGAGATAAAAAGTTAATGGACCAGTTCTCCGCCCTCTAAATTACAATTCCTAGACACATGTAGTTGCTGCTGCTCCTTGAGCGTCTTACTAACCTTGACCTCATCCTCATCCTCCTCGTCCTGAACATACTCCCAGGTCACAACGTCTCCTGCGTCACTGCAGCAGACAGAGAAAGTCACGTGACTTGTCATACACATACATACTGTGGTGACTTGTCATACACATACATACAGTGGTAGGTGACTTGTCATACACATACATACAGTGGTGACTTGTCATACACCTACATACTGTGGTGACTTGTCATACACATACATACAGTGGTGACTTGTCATACACATACATACAGTGGTGACTTGTCATACACATACATACAGTGGTAGGTGACTTGTCATACACATACATACAGTGGTGACTTGTCATACACCTACATACTGTGGTGACTTGTCATACACATACATACAGTGGTGACTTGTCATACACATACATACAGTGGTAGGTGACTTGTCATACACATACATACAGTGGTAGGTGACTTGTCATACACATACATACAGTGGTGACTTGTCATACACCTACATACTGTGGTGACTTGTCATACACATACATACAGTGGTGACTTGTCATACACATACATACAGTGGTGACTTGTCATACAC